TGTTTTAATGACTGAAATTGTTTCTGTTGAAATTCCATGAAATACCAAAAATTTAAATTGCATATGATGTCGGTCTTATGCGAAATTGCAATTTCACATGCATGAGCAATAGATCTGATTAATGGAAACTATGCGAGAATGAAAATTTTTGTTGCAGAAAGCATTGGAACGAGAATTTATGGTACGAGTGTATCGGTACGGCGTGAAAGATTCTGATGGGAATGCGTTGAGACGTGAAACGTGGCCGTATCTTTTGGGTCTGTTGAGTTGGACTGAGAACATCAACGATAAATACACAGAATTTGTGAACAATTATAATACGGCCGTTGAAGAATGGAAAAAAATTGAAAAAATTGTTAAAATTCGTGATCATGAAGCATTCACAGCAGGTAAAATAGAATTGCATATCTTGTCACAAGATAAACACGGCACCATGAAACTTAACAAACGTTTTGAAGAATTGGAATTTGATAATTGCTCACTCAAAAAAAAATCTTCAGATCATTTTTAAATCTGAAACCACGAATTTTCAAATGTACAAGTAAATGAGATAATACAACAATTGTTTTTCTGCGAAGAGATGTGCAATTGAAAGAATGAAAATAATTTTGCCTACAATCCTTTCGTTTTTACTGCTTTGTTAATTCTTCGAAGCTAATTCCTCACTAGCGCATTGCTTTTGAACGGTATTTCGCCGTGGATGAAAACCTGGAGGAATCAAGCAAATTATTCGGTATGAAAGATGAATTTAGATGATACTGCCATATTCGGTTTGTGTGAATGTTGATTCGTGAGGTTTGTGTAATTGGCGATTTGTTAATGGTTGTTATAGACGATGATAATATTTCAGCACGATTACGACACAGCTCGTATAATGGTGATTTGAGTGTACCGATGCGAGACTCATCAATGAATAATGATGTTTTTGAAGAGATCGACGAAATGTCGAATCATTCGTGCGATGAAAATCACCCACATCATCGTCTTACTGAGAAAGATAAAGAGGTGCTTTTCAACGAGCGATGATATTATAGAATTGAAATGAGATTTTCAATAAGCTTGCTTGAAAAAATTACAAGCGAACTGATTGCGAATTGAAATTTACACAGAAAAATGACAACAAACAGAATATGATAGCAATTCTGATTTGATGAATTACAAATTCAATCGGTTAACACACACATATGCGATCGCAAGAGAATGAATTAAAGTGGAATGATCGAAAGTGCCGAATAGAAAAAGAATCATTTTCAAGTTTTTCGACTGAGTTGTAGATGAAGTATGGGAGGTGTTGAAGTGAAATAGTATGCTTGAAGAATGAAAATGGTTTTGAAGGAGGCTCTGATAAGTGATTTTGGTACGAATTTGCATCGCATCGAAAAGGATGTGGATCGTTG